TCGTCATCGTCACCCTTATCGTCATCGATGATAACCATCATCGTGCATCCTCTGCATCACCAACAGCCATGATGATATTGATGACTACGCTTCCTCTGCATCTTCAATCGGCTCTAACGGCACTTTTGAATCGTATATGAAAAAGATAAGGATTGTCATCATAGTCGTCGCCCATCATCGTCATCATCACCGTTCTCATCATCGATGATAACCATCATCGTGCATCCTCTGCATCACCAACAGTCATGATGATAATGATCTCCAATCTCATCATCACCGTTCTCATCATCGATGATAACCATCATCGTGCATCCTCTGCATCACCAACAGTCATGATGATAACGATGACTACGCATCCTCTGCATCTCCAATCGGCTCTAACGGCACTTGTGAACCGTATATGAACAAGATAAGGATCGTCATCATAGCCGTCGCCCATCCTCGTCATCATCACCGTCATCATCATCGATGATAGCCATCATCGTGCATTCTCTGCATCACCAACAGTCATGATGATAATGATGACTACGCGCCCTCTGCATCTCCAATCTCGTCATCACCGTTATCATCATTGATGATAACCATCATCGTGCATCCTCTGCATTACCAACAGTACACGATGATAACGATGGGTCGTCATCATAGCCGTCGCCCATCATCCTCATCATCACCATTATCATCATCGATGATAACCATCATCGTGCATCCTCTGCATCACCAACAGTCATGATGATAATGATGACTACGCACCCTCTGCATCTCCAATCGGCTCTAATCATGGCCGTCGCCCATCATCGTCATCATCACCGTTATCATCATCGATGATAACCATCATCGTGCATCCTCTGCATCACCAACAGTCATGATGATAACGATGACTACGCACCCTCTGCATCTCCAATCTCATCATCATGATAATCATGTCCACGCATCTTTTGCATCACCAATGGGCTCTAACGCCACACTTGAAATGTATACTACGTATCAGCATCACCAGCAGTTCTCTTGATAATCATGTCCACGCATGATGATGATGATGATGATGGTGGTGCTGATGATGATGATGATGATGATAATGAAATGAAAAAGACAAGGATCGTCATCATGGCCGTCGCCCATCATCGTCATCATCACCCTTATCGTCATCGATGATAACCATCATCGTGCATCCTCTGCATCACCAACAGCCATGATGATATTGATGACTACGCATCCTCTGCATCTCCAATCGGCTCTAATCATGGCCGTCGCCCATCATCGTCATCATCACCGTTATCATCATCGATGATAACCATCATCGTGCATCCTCTGCATCACCAACAGTCATGATGATAACGATGACTACGCACCCTCTGCATCTCCAATCTCATCATCATGATAATCATGTCCACCAAAGACATCGCCAAGAGACAAGAAGAAGAAGAAGGGTAGCAGGCCCTCTTCTCAGGATTCTAAGGTTTCTAAGGATTCGAAGGGATCTCAATCCCAGAAGTCTCCCTTCTCTTCGAAGTGCGGGAGTGCGGCAAAAGTCCTTGCTGGTACATCGCGTTAGTGGTGGAGTTCAGAAGATCTGTTGCGAACATCAGTGAACTGTGATGTCTGGCTCAAGTCTTACGGACCTTCGCGGCCTCGGATGAGCGTTGCCGGGTCCCCACGTCGATCACCGCCGTGTGGAAGGAGAAAGAGACTTCGGGGATCGTAGCCGCCCGTGAGCTTGCGCCAGCGTGCTTGCTCTGGCGCTCGCTTATCTGCCGTGTGGTACCGATACGCTCCGCAGCTCTACAGTGTACGGCTGCGAGCTCAACAAGAGCTGCAGCTCTCGTTGAACCACGACAGCTCTCGGCCAACCGAGCAATGTGCGCCATGTGTAACGTGCAGCGCAAGGCCTGCGAGGGTCGTGCCTCGACTTGCTCTTTGTCCAACGCCCGGAAGCAACCCGCTTGTCTCACACAGCGCTTTGTTTGCACACGCTTATATACCTGCAGCAGCGTTGGAAGCGAAAGATGTTGTAAACTTGAGCCTCGCGCTTCCGAGTATAGGCTTTGCCAGCACGCAGCAGTATGCTGCGTGGGAGATGTTGTAAACTTGAGCCTGGCACTTGCGCGCGCTTTGCCAGCATGCAGCAGCATGCTGCATGGGAGATGTTGTAAACTTGAGCCTTGCGCTGCATGCGCTTACTTGCAGGGTTTGCCAGCATGCAGCATTATGCTGCGCGGGAGATGCTGTAAACTTGAGCCGCATGAACAAAACGTTTCAGTGTTTGAGCTTTCGCGCGTTTGTGTTTTAACTTGTTGTTGCTGAAACACCCCAAAAGAAAATGTGCGAGGGGATGTGGATCTGGGTTACTTAGACCACACGTGGCAAACGTACTGTGGGTTTTTGTTGTTGTTTATGGATTGCTGGTTTCTGTTACAGGGGTAATGTGTGTTATTTTCTAGGGCCGCCAGCCCACGCAAGGGCATTGTGTTTTCAGCAGACTTTCGTGTCTCACTCTAAGGATCAGTCTCTTCCCCCTCCCCCAAAAAACATCAACTTTATTTGCTTCGACCCATCCCATCGAAGAGTATTGTTTTCTGCAAGGGTCTGGCCCCGGAAACCAGATCTCAGTAGATTGTTTTCTTCGAAACAACAACTCAGACTTCTTTCCTATGGAAGGGTAATGTTTACAAGGTCGACCTCAGAGAAACACAAAAGAAAGCCCTTACTTCTTTTTTGTAAACCAAATTATTTCTGGAAGGGCAGTGCTTTTACAAGGGAGCCGCTACAACCTCGCCGCAGGCGACATGCTTTTGCCTCCATGGAAACTTCGCCCGCGTCGGCCGGCTCTGCACGCGGGCCGGGCGTGAAAGCGGGGAGCTGGGCGGGGTCCTTTTTGGGACCTGGTGCCACCTTGTAAAGGGGATACCAAAAAAGGAAACCATTGGATTTGTTTGTTTTGAAGGTGGCGTTTTTTCACGGGAACCCCAAAAAAACAAGTTGGAAGGTCCCTCAAAAAGGACACACTTACATAGCGAGATAAACCGCCATGCAACTGGTTCAGGAGGAACCCGGGATTCAGAAGCCCATGGTTGGTTTATAAAGTCCCTTCTTTTAGTGGGGATTCATGACCATTGGAAAGTCATAAGCCAATGTTTTTTTTGGAGATCACGTAGACCAATGATGGCTCCAATGATGGCTCAAGCTGTGGCTGAAACGCAGGGGGGCCCAGGTGGCTGCGTGGTCAAAAAAAACCGACCCTGGTGACTGGACAAGTAGACTACAACCTGCGGTCCCCTTGTGGTTTAATTTTGACCCATACCCAGGTGCGGCCTAAGGGTGAAACTGCCCCTGTCAGCCCGCACGAGGTCGCATGGCCTTGGCGTGGCGCTCGAGCCCTTCGTGTTCGTGGAGGCACCGGGTCCATGTGGGGATTCGATTTTCCCCTTCCCCCCCCCCCACCCCCCCACCCCCCACCACCCCCCCCCCCAAAAAAAGAAAAAGAAAAGAGAGATGGTCCGATGAATTGTTCAGTATGGCGACCAAATGTTCCTTTGGTCTTTTTTTGGAGGCAACCAACAATTATTCCACATCAAGCCTTCGTAAGGCCCTTTGGGTGCATCCACATCCCCTTCAGAAAACCTATCTTGTTAATTGTTCAGTATGGCGACCAAATGTTCCTTTGGTCTTTTTTTGGAGGCAACAAAAAATTATTCCACATCAAGCCTTCGTAAGGCCCTTTGGGTGCATCCACATCCCCTTCAGAAAACCTATCTTGTTGGGAGGGCCCTTTGATTGAACCCACATCAGGCCATCAGTCTTACTGGGTGGGGTCCCTTTGGATTGATCCATAGTAACTACCGTTAATTCAAAGATTTTTTTTGGGGGTTGGATCCTTTAAAAGAAGCATCGAAGGTCTGAACAGCGCGTGCCAGCAGCTGCAAGTCATTGGTCCGCACAGCTCTCCGCCCGGGTAGGCGCCCAAAGCGACCATATGAGACGGCCCGTGCAAGTTCTTGTCAACGTGCAACCGGACGCTGTAGTACATGTTGCACTGCATGCTGCGTGCAGCAATCGTAGATTCGTAGATCCGTCGTAGATCTGATGCTTCTGATTTGCTTCTCATTCCGCAGCTCAGACGCTTCGTACTTATTTGAAAACTAAAGGGATTGTCGCATTGAAGCCTTGCTATTTTCATGAGTCGCCCAACTCATTTTGGTCAGAACGCTATTTCCATGTGTTGATCAATCCAAGCGCCTCCCTATTTCGTGGCGGGCGTATCCAACAGTGGTCCATCAATTCGTGTTGGGCACCAAAAGGTCAGAACGCTATTTCCATTTGTTGATCAATCCAAGCGCCTCCCTATTTCGTGGCGGGCGTATCCAACAGTGGTCCATCAATTCGTGTTGGGCACCAAAAGGTCAGAACGCTATTTCCATTTGTTGATCAATCCAAGCGCCTCCCTATTTCGTGGCGGGCGTATCCAACAGTGGTCCATCAATTCGTGTTGGGCACCAAAAAGCGGAATCCCCCTATCCTATGGCGGGCTATCCAACAAAGGGTCATCGGTTTGTGTTGGGAACCAACAAGCAGAATCCTGAGCTTCAGTTTGGTCAGAACAGCATATGTGCCTTTTCCATCAATCCAAGCGCCCCTTATCCCGTGGCGGCATTTTCCAACCTTGCTTGGGCACAAAAAGCAGAATCCTGAGCTTCAGTTTGGTCAGAACAGTATTTATGCGGCTTTTCCATCAATCCAACCACCCCCTATCCCGTGGCGGGCGAATCCAACATGGTGTTCCATCGGTTTGCTTTCGGCACCCAAAAACCAAAACCCTGAGTTTGCATTGCAGAATCCTGAGCCTTTTTTTTGCTTGGACTCCCATCCACATAATCAGAATCAGTGTTCGATCCCATGTCCACTGTAGCAATGGCCAATGGTTGACAAAAGTGTCTTTTAGCAGCAACCTTGCTAAACCAAAAGGGGGTCAGGTTTTAAGTGTGCGCTCTCAGCCTGGGCTCAACGCGGATTGGTCTTCGAGCTCCGCGCGCTTTGCGGGGCCATGAGCTTCATCGCAGAAGCGGCTTCAGCGTGGAAGAGCGTGCGTGGCCTTGGCGGCACATACAGTTGGGTGTGGGAGATAGGAGGTGAGCCAAGTTTGCATTAATGTTTCAACAAAAGCCTAGGTCATGGCAAAGTGCCTTGGACGGAGGAGCAGGTAGAGCCTAAGCAGCAATGCATTTTGACTTGCGGGTGGCAACCACTGCAAACAGCCAGCTACTTATCTTGTAAGGGTGGTTCTATTGGCTACCTACTATACAGGGAAACGGGATCACTGGGTGTGTCAAAGCCTTCAAAGCTACGAAAAAAACAAAAAACTGAGGAACAACTCGCAGTGGAGCAAATGAAGCTCATCCCCGAGCGCGCGTGCCGTTTGATTCGGGACGAGTCCTTCCGTGGCGGAGACCTTGTCTATCTCCCGAACGCATTGGCGCGGCCAACATATAAGGACGCACGGTTCGGCTGACACCCAATGCAAGCGCCGGTTCTATAGGGTTGAGTTGTTTTGTGTTGACGCTCCCTTGCTCAGGAGTTGTCGCGTAACTATGTGTGGGTTCGGATCTGGGCCTCGCAGTTTCCGGAGAAGGCGCCAAGCGTCTTTCTGATCGCTGACGTGCTGCAGCGGCTCGACCAGAAATTTGCTGGCAACCTCCTGCAGCACACCGACAAATGCCGCGCTGAGCGAGCAGGAGAGGAAGCCGGGCGCATCCGCAAGCTGCTGTCCGCACTTCGCTACTTGTTCCGAAACGGACACGTGGCTGTTACTTAACGCTTTGAGTTTTAGTTAACTGCTGCTGACGCGTGCGCGGGTGCGACTGATTTACTGCTTACCCAAGGAACTGGATCCCCAGATCCTAAAGTTGCCGAACTCAAAGGACTTCTGAGACCTTCACCTTCCTCAAAGGTTACTCGGCGAAAGCGCTCCCTACTAAGGTGAGTTACCAAAAACAGCAACTTGTCACCTTGAAGATGCTTAAAAAAACTAAGGCCCGCAGGATGTCGAAGGGATCTTCCTTGGGAGACGCCGACACAAGTGCAAGCGCTGAGGACTCGGTGGCACTGCGCATCTAGCAAAACTGTTTTGCCTTATTTCACTGGAAACCAATCACTAGCAGAAAGATAGGTAGGAATTACAGGTTCTTTGAGAGCGTGACCAGCGTTCCCAAGGCAGAGCTCACTGACGAGGATGCGGCTGATGGCAATGAGGGCGCGCTGGATGGCTGTGGAGGGCTTGCCCCTGCGAGCAGCGATGAGGAGAATAGTGATGAGGAGAGTGAGAGTGGTGATGAGGAGGGTGGTGAGGAGGTGCGTGGTGAGAAGAGTGGTGATGAGGAGGGTGGTGAGGAGGCGCGTGGTGAGAAGAGTGGTGATGAGGAGGGTGGTGAGGATGTGCGTGGTGAGAAGAGTGGTGATGAGGAGGGTGGTGAGGAGGTGCGTGGTGAGAAGAGTGGTGATGAGGTGAGTGGTGGTGAGGAGGTGAGTGATGGTAAGGAGGTTCGTGGTGAGGAGGCAGAGGATGATGGCGAGGCGGCGCTGGCGAGCTCGCAGGACTCCGAAAAGACGCTTCGACTGGGCCAGGGTGACAGCCCGCGCGCGGTGGTGGCAATTTCGCCCAGCACGCCTTGCAATGAGACGCAGCTACCTTCTCCTGACCAACCGCTTCTTGACCAGACCGCGCCTGACCACGCTGACACGAACGAGTTGCTTAAGGTCAGCAACGGCTACTGCTCAGACGAGGACTCGAGCTTTCATTCTAGTTGCGTGAGCGAGTGGACCTTGCGTGGGGACTCGGAATGCGAGGATGGCAGCGAAGAAAATGCGCCGATGGAGACGCAGTATGTGCTCGTTCCCAAGCCGGCGTTGGAGCGCAAGCGCAGCTGCGTCGACGTGGTGGCAGAGTCGGAGCAAGCGGCAAAGAGATCGCGCCAGGAGCTTGTGAAATGAGTTGTTTCTATGATGGGTTTCTAAAATGGGTTAGTGTGGGATTGTTCCTGACACTAAGTACGCAAAATCGTTCTGATGCCTATCTGCATGTACACTGGCCCGAACCCTGCGCTGAACCCTGAAAGGAGGAGGTGGACACCGCCTACGACTGTGTGACTTGGCGGGGGCACCCCTGTGTTTTTCATTCTAGACACCTAAAATGCCCTTTGAAACATGTTGATGTCGGGCCATCGTTCTGGCACCCTTCTACTCAATGTGACACAGTCGAATGTTGCCTGGAGGGCGCCTTGAAACACTCCCCTCCAAATCTATTTGAGTCTGGGTACTCATGTTACGAGGTGATTGATTCGTGGGGCAATACTGCCATGCGCCTCTCACGCAAAATCTGTTGGAGCTCACAAACCCAAACGTTAAGGGTTTTGATGAACACGCTGATGACTGTTTTTGCGTCCTGGACAAGGGCACTAACCAAAACATTTCAGCTTGAAAAACAATTGATGACACAGAAGCGAAAGTTTGTCAGGATATGGATGCATTGCAACGCGCTCTCAGCATGATGGGTGTCCAACAGAAAGTGCGAATGCCTCATTCCACAGCGGCTATCAAACCACCACCTTTGCCTCCACCTTTATTTTTGAACTCAGTGAAGCAGTACCTGGATGACGTGGGCCCATGCTGTGTGGGAGCACAGGCTGTTCAAAAAAATAAGTTGTGTTGGCTCCCCCTTCAAACCCTTTCGCTGCCATTAGCCATGAGATGCCTCCCTGAGGCAAAACCCCGAGTGAAGAAGGCTGATCCTGGCCGGTCCAGGGCCCCGGGCAAGGCCACGAAGAAGGGCAAGAAGCAGAACCCGCCGCGGGCGACCTTTAAACGCGGCCACACAAAAAAGGTCAAGGCGGTCAAGGGGGGCGCTGATGCAGCGCCGGGGAGTTCTGATGCAGACCAGGAGGTCGCTACAGCAACTTGCTAGCAAATCGGTTCGAGATCTCGCGGGGCTGGAGGGTTCACCAAATATGGCGGTGGCTAAAAAACAAAACATGTACTTCTTATTGCCACCCCGATCCACCTTGTGTTCTTTTTTTTTGTCAATCCAAGCATCAACGCTGGCAACTGGGATGGGCCCCCGATAGTGAATTGTCGATGGGGTCTGTTGCTAAGCATCATATGTTTCTGAGGTTCCCCTTTGCAACTGGCCGCCAATTGTCCTGTCAACATTAGTGTTCCCACTCATGCCACCCCAGGAATACAACGGATACTCGTTGGAGGGCATCCCGCAGCACGCTCTTCCATCCGCAACAAGGATAAACAAGGGCCTCCACTCGTACACATGCGCCATCAGCGTCCACGATGAGCCCAATGAAAGCCAAGTGGCTTTGGTTGATGTGCTGCTCCGAAACCGGGCATACTATGTCAAACGGTGCCTGCCCAATGGAAAATGCGGGCAGGTATCATGGAAGAAATACGGTGGCCCGGAGCTGGCTCTGCAGAAAGCAATCGAGCTTGCCAGAACTGGGAAGCTGTCTTGCGTGCACGCAACTGCGTGATTGGGTACCATGCTCTCCACTTAGTGCTTGCCATGACTAGGAAATGATTTTGCCATTTTGGCTGCAAAGGTCAGGATCGTTCTGCAAATGACAAGTTGGGCAAATCGTGGAGAGCATGCTTCTAGTTTCTGGGGTAAATCAAATTTGAGCGATTGGGGTGGAGTTGAAAAGCGGTGCGTCTGAGTCTCTCTGTGGGTTTGGTTTTCCCCTTTAGATCAAAAGGTCTGGGCTTTTGAAGTTGAAGGGTCATGCATGGCCGCTGCCAGCCTTGGATTTGGGTTTCCCCTTAGACTAAGTGTTTGGCATCTTGAAAATCAAGTGGATTCAATTGGCTTTTGAAGCGTTCCGGTCCCGCAAGGCCGTTGCACGCCTTCACCCTGCGCTGGAAATTCAGGCTCGCTCGTTGTTTCGCTGTCACTTGTGGTTTTGGTTTCCCCCCCTTAGATCAAAACAGTGTTTCCCTCACACATCTACCGCGAATGGTTTGGCATCTTGAAAATCAAAAGGGTCTTTGGTTTTGAAGGGTCACGCGTGGCCGTTGCAAGCCATCACATTGCTCTGGGGATTGCGGCTCGCTCGTTTGTTCTGTCACTTGTGGTTTCGGTTTCCCTTTTGGACCACAAACAAGTGTCTCTCTGTGGTTTCGGTTTCCCCTCTGGACCAAACAATTGTCTCTCCTACAGCAAGTGGTTTGGCGTCTTGAAGGTCAAAAGGTCTTGAGTGTTGAAGGGTCATGCATGGCCGTTGCAAGCATTCGCCCCGCTTTGGAGATTTTGGCTCGCTCGTTGTCTGGCTGTCACTTGTGGTTTTGGTTTCCCCTTTGGACCAAACAAGCTCTCGGCAACCGGCACAAATCGTTTTGACACCCTGAAAATCAAGTGGCCTTGCCCCTGCTATAGGTTCCCGGCATGGTGTGCCGGCGAGATGTCAAGCAGGCATCGCGCGCAGCGGCAGCGACCTTCGCGATTCAGCGGAGGGGATCGCGGAGCCCCAGAGAGAAGCAGAAACAGTGCATCCTTTCTGGGCTGAAAGCCCTAGGTGCCCCTGCGGCCCCTCAGCTAGTTGGTCTTTTTCGGTATAAGCAAAGTTTTGAAACCTACAGGTTGCCCCAAAATCAAGCCTTGTTTCTTCGCCCCTTGTGAGGTGGTTGCGATCCTGGTGTCGCTTCTCTTTGCCAAGCCCTTGGTCTTCACCCCGTTGCTGGACCATGTTGAGCTCTTTGCTGGGCAAATGTCGGTATCCATCGGGGAGATGGAGGCTGCTTGGTAATCAATGTTCTGCGTGTCACGCTTCTCTGACTTGGTCTAATGTTCCAGCAACATGTTGTACGGGGTGGCAGTTTCAAAGTGGAATCAAAGTGGGCCGTGTCAAAGATCAAGGAGTCAAATGCTCTAGGGAACATAGCCTTTCTTAGGCGTGGCAGTTTCAGTTGAAGCCCAACGGGGAATCAACAAGTCTTGTTGTTTGCTTGGAAAGGGTTGCAAAAAAGGAAGGAAACTTCATGATGCTAGCCTTGGATTCATTGCTTCCCAATAGTTTTGCCATGAAAGGAAAACCGATGCGCGGTTGCTCTCGACTTGGAGATGGGAAAGAGTGGAGAGATGGGTGAGGACGCCTACAACATGCTACATCCCATAGGATTCGCCCACTCGCTGTTTCAGGTTTGCCGCTTGAAGCCGGGCCGGAGCGGCCTATTGGCCGCTCCGGTCTGTTCGACCTGGGTTTATATGTCGCGGGGTTCAACGGGCCGTTCACTTGGAAACCCTGGCGGAGATCCTCGTTTCCCCGCCACAAACAGTGGCAACGTTCTTTGTTCACGAACACTTGTTCTGCTGTGGATCGCAGCCGCTTTGCAGTGCTGGTGGGTGTTGGAACAACCTCAAGGATCGCTCATGGAGCACTATGCGCCGTTTCAAGCTTTCCTGAAACGCGTGAGGGCCTGGCGGCATCGCATGAAGATGCTAGACTATGGGGGTCCCAGCGCAAAACCCACCTGGCTTTACAGCAGAACCTTTTGCTGAATCCTAGCAACCGTTATTGTAACAGTTTATTCCCCGTAAGGTAAGCTGTGGAAAATAAGGATGTGGGGAAGCCCTACCTATCTCAGGTCGCAAGGAGATCGAACACCTGGAACAGTTTGCCCCGCGGCACTTGCCTGCTGTCGACCGTGACCGCGAACCATGTGAGATGGTCATCCATTACAAGGACACCAAGGGCATTGACCGGATAAAGGGGGGGAAAGACCTGAAGAAGAGTCAGGCCTACCCCAGATTGCCCTTTGCCTTGTCAACTAGTCTCAAATGTGCTCCAAAGGAATTTGCGGGTGTTGATTTCAAAAGCCCCCCCAATATATGTTGCAAGCCCAGCCCCTTGTGTAGCCATCGCTTGGAGAAGGGGCAGTCTTCCTCTTGGCACCCCGGCCCATCCGCAGTGTCATCCAGAGCAGGGTGTCCTCGTGTGATCCAAGGTTTGGGAGATCCCTGGCAAAGCTCCGCACCAGCCAGAGGGCATCCCAACAGAGTGAGGCTCGCAAAATTCGAAAGCGGTGGCTGAAACAAGGCCCTGGCTCGCTGAATTCGAAAGACTCAGCCCGGTGGATCAAGTGGGCAGACTTGGACGGTGTCATGCAGTTTCTGGTATGAGCGTCAAGAATGCTGCCAAACAGCATTACATGTGGATGTGGTATCTTGTAAACAGCAAAATTGAAAAAACAAGCTGAGTGAACTCTGCGGTATCTTGTCACTGGCTGTTTTTTGCCACACCCATATGGCGGGGTTGAACCAGTTTCTGGTATGAGCTTTGAGGATGCTCTGTGACATGTGGATGTGGCCCAAAACTAAGGACCCAAAATGGAACCCTTGTGACTTAAATGCATCCAGACCAAAATTTGGGGCATCATTGTTTTTAGCCACATCCACATGCAAGCGGGCAGGCACTGCCATGGATCTCATGGTATGAGCTTCAAGGAGGCTCTTGCAACAGTTCTAGTGGGTGTTGCTCAAAGCCAAGGACCTGAAATCGAACCCTTGTGAGTTACATGGAAAGATAGGATAGACTAAAATCTGCGGCACCCTTTGCTCTGACACACCCATGTGGCGGGATTCGATCAAGCGGGGCACCTGCTATGGAGTCTGTGGCATGAGCTTCGAGGATGCTCTTGCCAAATATTCACATGTGGATGTGGCTCAAAACTGAAGACCCTAAATGGACCCCTCATGAGTTGAATGCAATGGGGCACCCTGGCTATGATGGTGATTAGCCGCATCCATGTGGTGGGGTTACATCAAGCGGGCAAACCCTGCTATGGAGTTTCTGGAATGAGCTTTGAGGATGCTCTTGCAATTCAAGTGGGTGTGGCTCAAAGGACCCGAAATGGAACCCTTGTGAGTTGAATGGAAAGCTAGACCAAAATCTGGGGCGCCGTGGGTTTGACTGTTGTTAGCCACACCCACATGACGGCCCATGTCAGCTAATTAAGTATCAGGACTGCAAGCCGCTATGTGGGTTTTCCCATGTGCGTTTTGGCTTGGTTGCCTCAAAGCAGCAGGGGACCGCACATAAACTGATGCAAGATTCACGAAGGAACACCGTGCATTCAGTTGTAGCTTTCTTGGGTTCCCCTGAGAGCTGTTCTGGCCAGATTGTGATGTGGCTCTGGGTGAAAAATGGATGAAGGGAAACTGAGAGGGTTGTGTCTGGTTTGTTTGAGGGTCCTGCGGTCCTGCTTGCTCGCAGGCATGCCGCGGCTGGTCATCAAGAGCTTGCTGAAAGGCGCCGACCTTGGACTCCTGCTGTCGATGTCGAACAAACCCGCTGAAAGACCCTTTAAAACCAGAGGCCTATATGGGTGTGCTTTTTTTGGTGTACCACCCCCCCCCTAATGGGTGGTTCTCCTTTTGGTTTCTCTTTAGAACCACAAACAAGCCCATATGAATTGGCTAAGTATCCATTACCAAATGGTTACATCCAGGTAGACACATCCATATTGATTGGAAAGGGTGGCTGGCTGGAAAGGTCATGCCAGCTGGTGGGGCGGTTGGGTTCTTTATTAGGGCAGTTGGTTGAGACATCCATTTTGAATATTGGCTGGTGTTAAAACCCTCTAGGCCCCGTGCCGAAATTGGGTAGCTGTTCTGAGGTCCTTGTTGGTGTTGCTTCCCAAGTTCCATTGATCGCCATTTGGCTCAAGACACAATTGAGGTTCAAGATCTGATGTGTGACTGCGAACATTCGTGACGGGCGATAAGAGCAAAACAACTGCTTGCGCTGCATTGTCAGGACTACTGGTGTAACTATCATTCCTTCTTCCTTACAACGTTTACACGGGTTCGGCTATAACGGCATCGTCCGTATACACCTTTCTACGTGGTTGGTATTAAAGCTTGAGGGTTCGGTGCACAGCGTCCCACGGGACGTCACCTTGCCGTCTCTTGACAGGTTATCAGCCGTAACTACGAGCTCTACACTGGACTGGGAGACAGCTGGTTTATTGCGGGTACAGGGACAATAAAGGAACGATAACATACACAGTACAATGGCGTCTTCGGCGAGCCCAAGTACTGCAACTTTTGGGAACAGCAGCTCAGAGGGATCCAATGGATTGATGGCTCTTCCTGCGGTGATGGATATGATTGCAGATTCACAGGATGAACCTGGGAGCGGAGGTTCCGCGCTATTCAGCGACATATCTACTCCCACAAGATCATGGAAGCAGATCGATGTTCATCAGGAGTCGAAGAAAAGAGAATCCCCACCGAGAAGATCATCATCTTCGCCTGCGACACCACGGACGTCGCAGAAGGGCGTGAGATCGACATCGAAGGGTGGGAGGTCAAATCACCCACCAGTGCAGATTTTCGCGCCGTGATCAAAGAGAAGAATAAGATGGAGGTGGAGATCGGGGAATATCAGAAGACACTTGATGAAATGTCGGCAGCAATGGCGAATCTTAACCAAGAAGACTATGGAAGCACCATCCGGATCCAGGAGCTGGAAAGACGATGCGAGATTGCCAGCAAGCAGTCGGGACATCTAGTGAGTCACCACCAACACCACATGGCTGAGGCATGGCGCAAGTTTGAGGAAGAAGCCCAACAGATGCGCAAGGTGGAAATGAACGCATTTCAGTACGGGGAGAAGAAAGACATGGAGTCGAATATTATAATGCAACAGATGAGGCAAGCTGAAGGAACTATCATGGAGCAGAAGCGGGAGATTGCATTGATGAGATCCTACATGGCAAGCGAGAAGTCGGCCGCGCAGGAATCAGCTATACGTGCAAATCAGATACACCGTGAGGCTTCACAACAGATATCAGCCTATCAGCAACAGATCAGAGGCATAGAATCTTCTACCTCTATCGAGAAGTTCAACGAGGAGGAGATGGTCCAAAGTCTGAAATCACAGTTGGAGCATGCACTCGTCAAGCGCCCCGAGACGTACTCTTTGGAGGACTCCAGGGAACAGCTGATGGCGAGGCTGAATGACGTTACAGTATTTGCGGAACAGGAATCGAAGAGAGCAGATTGCTTGCTTCGCGAAAAAGAAGAGATCGTCAAACAGTATGAGTCCGACGTGTCGATGAAGGACCAGATGATTGCTGTCGAAGGTGGTCATCGTCAGGATGCGATCTTGGAGTTAGCCCAGGTCAAAGAAGAGAAACAAGAGGAACGGTGCACGATGGACGAGAAGTCGAAGGAGGCTGAGTACTGGAGATTGACAGCTAAGGGAATGTACGATGAGTACCTCGAGGAGATGCATGAGCTTCAGGGACAACTGAAGGAAAGAGAGGCGACGCTCAAGCAAGAAGAGAGTTTTGTGCGCCAACTCGATGCTGACAACGAGGAACTACGTGCACACAAGAAGCTGGAGACACAGGAAGCCTCCAGCAGCAAAGATGGACATCGTGAACGAGCAGTAGTGAAACGCGCTGAGGGAGGAACCCAGGCTAATTCAAATAGGATAGACAAGAAGGTGGCTGGGTCAGTCCCGTCATCGTCTTCAAATCAAATCCCTAATTCGTCGCTGATGCCAGGTTCGATCCTCTTTCCGTCTTTCGGTGATCCAATGATCGATGTACACCTATCCCAGATGCAAGGGGTTGTTGGGCATGTCCCACAATCCACTACTACGACTGGTGGTGGTGATGGGGGGGGAAACAACGGTACTACGCCCCCATTGGATTACGGTGGATTCCCGCCCAATGGGAATGGGCAGGGAGCGGGTCGACGTCAGTTGAGCCTCGCTGGTGGCGGAGGAGGACCTCCGGATGATCCACCCGATGATGAGGATGAGGATGACGACGACGAAGGAGATGAGGAAGACGAGGAAGAAGAAGAGGAAGAAGACGATCGGACACGGAGGAGACGAAGGAGATCGAGAGATAACCGAGAGATCAAGAATGATCGACCGAGAATCTCGAGGAAAGAGGCCGAGAGAGTATCTATTCCGGCCTGGCCAAAGATCCATCAACTTGACACCTGGAAGATGCAACTGCTGATGAATGTTCTGAGCGCATGTGCAGATCCAGATACCGACGCATGGACGAAATGGCTGGAGCAGGCTCTTGGGTTGAACCCAGACCTGGATTTGCTTAGCGATTCAGGTGGCGACAGATTTGCTACGATAGATATTAAGATGGCCATGGGCATGCAGAACATGCTGAAACAAGCACCTGACGAAGCCAAGGACGTATACCTCGATGCTACACGACACTCTGAACTACGACATCAACAAGGGGTGATCGTGAAGGGACGAGAGTTGGTGGCATTAGTTATGCAATCATTCAGAACTTCCGATAGAACGGATCTTGTCTACCACATCGAGCATTTATTCAACCTCGACTTTCCTGGCGACAAGAACTTGGTCATGTTCAGGAACAAATGGTATGATTTGCTGCTGAAGATGAGGAGCGAGGACAGACCCAGTAAGCTGGCTCTCAGAGACATCCTTTACAGGAAGATCAAAGGGAGCAAGAAGATGGAGTTCGGCCTCAATGCCTACCATAGACTACCGGACAAGCATCCTCAGAAGACGTATGAATTCTTATTGGCGTTGATCGACTATCAGATCAAGGCAGATCGGGAAGACCTGATGCTCGACATGAAGGAGAAATCGGTCAAGTCGATGATGAAGTCAGGCGGGAAGGATGCGGCTCCAGCAACTGGCAAACAGGAGAACCAGGGTGGCAAGGGCAGAAAGGGGAAACCCGGTGGACCTGATGCCGCTCCTGTGCTCCCAAAAGCCAAGGCAAAGGGCCACGCTGGCAAGAACGGCAAGTCCGACGGTGCCAGCGACAGAGGCAAGAGTCCGGGCGGAAGCAAGGATAACCCCTGCTGGTACCACTTCAAATCGGCGAAGGGGTGCGTGAAAGGGAATGAATGCACTTTTTCCCACAGCAAGAAGACGGAGCATAAGTTGGAGAGCATGTCCAAGGGGAAAGGAAAGGGCAAATCCAAGTCCAGATCATCGTCACCAAAGAGGGATGATGGAGCATGCTTCGCGTTTCAGAAGGGGAAGTGCGATAGGGGAAGCGCTTGTAAGTACAGGCATGAGCTCATCAAGAACAATTCAGCTCCAGCAACGTCAAATGACAAGGCGCAAGCCAAGTCGAAGGCTGCCGCCAAAGCCGCAGCGCCTGCCA